ATGATTCTTTACTCAAGCTTTAAATAACCATATCAAATTTGATCCCAAAGCAGTAGTTTCTATTTAGCCTGCAACAGACAGTAAACACCAGCTATCTACAGTAAAGACTGTCCATAACTGTCCCTGAGAATGCTATACTATCTTAAAAAGAGCAACATCTTTTCCCTGTTATTTATTGCAAGATCCTTACTTGAAAGGCTTCCATTATAATGACCAAGTTTTAACCTTCATTATAGTCTAGTCATTTCCCAGAATTTCCAAATTAGGAGGGTAGGGAAGAGGCATTGGTGAACCCAGACAGGATTGCAATGGAATTAAGTTTTCAACAAACAGAGCAACTCAGGCTGACACTAGACTTAGACAACAGATTCCCTTACTATGCTCAATACTTCATGAAGAAGAATGCAAGGCAACTCTCCATCACTTATACACACAAATACGTGCTTTGAAGGTTCCAAACATTTGAGCACTGAAAACTAAAAACATCTACATTTTTACTTAGCAAAGTAAATTTAGGCAGATTTAAACTGCAGTTTACAGAAGACAACTGAATTTAATTCTTATTGAGAAAGCTCTAGGAAAGAAATTGCTAGTTTGCAATGCTTAGACAGAGCTCATTCAGCAGCTGTTAAAGGTAGGGACCTACCTAAATCACAGTGCGCTGCGCAGCAGCTCCTTTAATTTTGCTCTTTTTGTTGCCTGCCCTCTCCCCCTGTCCGGCTGCTGATTGGTTATGGGGCCCCAGCTGCCCCACCACTGACCACTGATTGGCCAGAAGGCAAAAACCATGATTTAAAATATGCTGCAGTATTTTCCTCCTGGCCAATCAGCATCAAGCTGTGATGCTACCGGGGCCCTCAGCCAATCAGGAGCAGGAGGCATAAGCCACAGCATATTTAAAATCATGGTTTTTGCCTCCTTCCCAATCAGCAGCAAGTGGTGGGGCTGACAGGACCCCTCCACGAATCAGTGGTGGCGTGTGCAGCAAAAAGAGCAAAATTAAAAGGAGCTGCTGCACAGCACAGTTCCACCATGATTTAAGTAGGTCCCTAGTTATCAGACTTTCAACTTCAGTCTGAGGACACACATTAAGTACAGTTTGTTCTTACAGGATCTACAAAAATGGGGTCTAAGAGACCTGCTTCTGAGAGGTAGTGGCCACGAACAATTTTACTTGAATTGAATGGGGCACATATATATGTCCCAACCAGTCAGAAATTAGGCCTGTCATGGTTAAAGAATACACATCTTTGGCTGCTTAAGAATACAATCTCTTCCAACAGAGAAGGGGCACATTTACATTTTTTCTCCTGACATACATCTTGCGATATGGCGGTGTAATTAGCAAGTTTTGCATCCCAGGAAAAAGTGTGCCAGAGAGCAGCTGGGGTAGGATTGTCAGTCTTACCTGTCCAGGGACTCAGAGTCACCTGCTGCTGCCATAGCACAGTTTGCCCATCATTTGTTGTTGCTACTGCTGCTAAAAACAGCAGTCTGGTATCCCTGCACCCAGCTTCTGCTACTGCAGCAGTGGCTTGGGGCTACTGATGCACACTATACCACAAATTTAAGTATAAATCCTCATGCTTGTTTTACTACCTCAGAGCAGACACTCTGCAGAGGTAACTGCTGCTGCTAACGACTCTCAGGCCTATCTATTTGACCGTTTAAAATTATGTCCTTTATAATTTAAAACAAACCAGGTATAAATAATGGATGAGGACGATGGTCCAAAATTCAGAAGGAAAATAGTACAAATCAGGTTCTACTGTGTGATTTCTTATCTGAAAATGTAAAAGATCTTGGAGGTTTTATTTATGAATTATGATATCAATCTGGCAATGCCTTCAAGATAGAGGGTACAATCCAGAGACCCAACAATTCTGAATCTGACATGCAGTAGCGCAGATATAAGACAAATGGGTGTATCTGTAGGTTTGCATGTATTTAGGCTGGTTATTGTCTGGGCTAAGGCATTATTCCTTCCAGGCTTGAGGTTGGTAAGTCTTGATGAGCTGTTTTCTTAAGTCTGAACTTCTTTACTGTCCAAGCCCCCAAGGTTTGGAACAGACTGCCACCAGAGGTGGTTCAAGCACCCACTTTGAACACCTTCAAGACACATTTGGATGCTTATCTTGCTGGGATCCTATGATCCCTGCTGACTTCCTGTCCCTGGGGCCGGGGGCTGGACTCGATGATCCTCCAGGGTCCCTTCCAGCCCGAACGTCTATGAAATCTATGAAGTCTGCAGTTACAGGAACAGTGTTTTTGTTTTGTTTTTTTTAATCTGACATGCTCAATCTCATTTTGCTGAGGGAAGAACTTCTTTACTGTCCGAGCCCCCAAGGTTTGGAATAGACTGCTGCCGGAGGTGGTTCAAGCACCTACTTTGAATGCTTTCAAGAGATATTTGGATATTTATCTTGCTGGGATCGTATGATCCCTGCTGACTTCCTGTCCCTGGGGCAGGGGGCTGGACTCGATGATCTTCCAAGGTCCCTTCCAGGCCAAATGTCTATGAATCTATGAATTTTTATGAAGGTCAGTATGAATGAGAAGGTTCAAAAGGGTGCTGAGAACTGTAAAAGGATATTGCAACCTACCCCAATGTAATGTATTTGTTAGGGAAGTGTTATGTTAACATGGTGTCATTTGGACTCTGTGTTTATCTTTTTTGAGATCAGGTTATTATAGAGGAAAATGAAGCAACCCTTGCATTCTCTTTTTAAGATTAGCAGATGCCATTTTTTTTCTTGTTTCAAAGGAGGTATTTAATCATTCAAACTACTTTTAATCTCAAATCTTCCTCACAGCCAAAAACAAGGAGGTATCACAATCTCAATAGTGACAGAAATGAGTAACAAATATCAATCCTAATCTTTCTGCTGAGTAGGTATGATGGGGGGGTGCAATTTGTTGTTCTATTTGTCTATTAACTGGTTTTGAAAAGGTTTGGGCTTGAGTTTACCAGACAAGAGCAAACACTACAAAATGGTTAGCTCTTGAACAGGGTTGTTCATCTCCCCACCCAAGCCCGCACAAAGGTGTATAAGCATCATTATCTGTTTTCTCCAAATAGAAGAAGTGGGGCACAGGGTGGTGCTGTGATCCAACCAAAGACACAATGGGTGTGTTTACACAAGAGGTTTACTGCAGAGCTGACTAATTAACTCTAAAGCAGGGTTTTCAACCTTTTATAACAAGTGTACGCCTGGCAGCTCCCTTTTAAATAAGTGTACCCAGGGGGAGGCATGGCAAGTGTGGGGCAACCACAGTGACTGCTGCTGCAGCAGTGACCGCTGTACCAACCCTGGGAGGAATGAGTGAGCCAAGCTCGTGGAACAAGGGGCTGGGCCCCTCCCCCCACCCAGCACCTCCCCATCTCCCTTCCCACCGTGAGCAGCTGGCACTCATGGCCCCCAGCTGCCTGCACACAGCACTGCGCGCACTCGCCTGCCCGGACATGTGGGGCACAGCAGCCCCTGGCGCACGGGGCAATGCCGGACATGGAGCAAGGGGGGGTGGCCAAATGCAGAGTGGTGGCTGGACTGCATGCAAGCTTCCCCTGCCCCCTGTGTCCGGCTGGGTGGGTGGCACTTGCACAGCAGTGTGGATGGTGTATGGCAGCTCTCTATCCCCATCTGCCTACACATATCCCTTAGGGCTTTCTCAAATACCCCCAGGGGTACACATACCCCCAGCTGACAACCCCTGCTCTACAGTAAATATTTCAGCATCTATATGTGGGCCCCTATTAGGGCACAGGAAACTAATAAACTCCTCAGCAGGGTAATATTTGTAAATACAAGTTTTTTCAGAGTTTTTTCATGCGCAGTGGCGCATATGTAGATGCTGCTCTGGCTGGCTGGGGTGCGAGGGTGCTTCAGTGTAAGGGCTGCCTGACAGCTAGCTCTGCAATAAAGCAACCTCGTGCCCCAGCCAGCATCTCCACAGCACACTGAGCCCAGAGGAGCAGCCCCAGGCTAGCAGGCTGACCCCTGGGCTCCCCAGCAACCCAGAGCTGCTCTGACTGGGCTCCATGTGCTACGCATGAATAAGCCTTGGAGCTGATTGCTCCAGAGTTAATTGCTCCTGGACACACATTTAAACAGCACACCTGAGAGCAAAAAACTCTGGAGCAATAAGCTCTAGCATTTACTCATGTGCACTAACTGCGTATGTGCATGCCCACTGTGAGCAATGGACAGAACAGGAAATAGAACTGGAAATCAGGATCTGGGTCTGTGCCCTTGACTCTGCTGCCTCCACATCAGCTAAGAATTCATTAAAATATCCACATCTCCAGTGTTATCAAGTGTAGTTTTTCCATGTCTCTGGCATTTTCAAACAGCCAAGAACACCCTCAACACAACCGTGCAATACAATGTTAGCAATACCTTTCTGCTGACTGACATAAGAATTCTATTGTAACTGATGATGTTTTTAAGCTTCTCTTAATTGTGAGTGTAAAGACTAAAACTTGCACTAACTGTGTAACCAACAAGCACAGCTATCACACTTGTATCATCACATTGCACATACTCATTTCCAATTCACCACTATGCAAGTTCCTACTTTAATTTCTGTTCACTCACTTCATCCTTGTAAAGGCTCTAAAACAACATTCAGCTAGGTTAGTAATAGTACATTATTAAAGAAGATATGATTACAGTTCACGTGTATATAAATAATGCAACAAAAAGTGCGTAAAACATAATTTGCATCCACTTCGATTTCAACCAGTAAAATCAAACTGTCCTCTAAATATATGAATAATACTGAATATATATTTCTTCTTGTCCATTAACAAAAGCAATAGCATTCTCTTGCTCATTTTTATCTAAATCCCTGCAGTCATAATCATCTTCCCCATACTTAACTAAAAACTTTAAGTAAACATCTCTTTCTTACCTGTTAAGTTACCTAGAAATCTGTAGGTAACAATGTCTCCCACCTGCCTATTATATTACCTAGCATTCTGCAGATAACAAAATCTTTTCCAGTTTTATCACCTACAAAACTCCGTAGATGCCAACATTTCCCTCTTGGACTTCTCTCTTTGTACAAATTCTGAAGAGATAAATTTGAGTGTGTCTTCATTTGTCCTCGACTCTGAACAAACTGTGCTGTTTATACGCGAGTAGCTTTTTGAAAATAAAAAATTAAATTTCCTGAATACAAAAATAATTGTCCTAACTGCCAACTTTAGGTTTCTAGCAGCTGCTGGTTCTGCTAAGAGAACCAAAAGAAACCAAAAGTTTATTTTAAAAAATATATTAGCATTATTCTCCATACAAAACTGAAAGTAGATCAAGACCATTTAAGACCTTGGCATTCCAGGAGGATGAGCTTGCCCCTGCAATGTAAATCTACAGATTTTATATTTTTCACTCTCAGAGTTGAGGTTAGAAAAAAAAGCAATTTGGACTAAAAAACAATGAATGATTTCCAAAATTACCCAGTGTACTTTCAGTAAAACAGACTGTCAATATGCCTACAGTAACATACTCACAACTTGTGCAAGTACTGCACATCAGCAGACGAAAGCACGACTGCTTTATGTTAGATCCATCACTCTTTTAGCTGCAGTTAAACACAGGAAGATGTGTTAGTCCAGTCTATATCTTGCTTTGCAAAGACCGATACGTTGCACTTGCACTTAACATCCCCATACCATGACAAAAAGGTAACTCTGTATGGGTCGTCCATTGAGGAAAACACCAGATGGAAAAACTGCCTGGACAATTGCATTTCCTCTTTGCAAACTCTCAAGATGAATGTGCCCCACAGAAAATGGTGGGGGTTATATAAGCCTAGAACTTTTAAGGAACTGAATGAGAACTCCATAGACAAAAGTATACTGAGCGAGAGTCTGCACCACCATCATCCTCTGCTGCCGCAACATGTCTAGCACTCTTGGGACATCCAGCATCTAAAGAGAGAAAAAAAAATTAGCTGTTATAAAGACTTGTCAAAAAGGAACACAGTTTGGACTTTCCAATCCAATATATATATCCCTTTCCCACTTATATAAATGCTGTACACGCACACCTGCACCTGCACAGACCTAATGATCACAGTTACGGAGCAGTCAGTCACTCTGGGTATTTTTACACATGCTCTGGGAGGCACAGGGGTGGGGCACTTTAATTAGCAAGTGCTTTTAATTAAAAGCACCTGAGTCACGTGCACCAGCGTCCCCAGTGCTGAAAAATGGCAGCAGGTGCTTTGAATTAAAGCTCATCGCATGAGCTTCAGTTCAAAGCACCCCACCACCATTTTTCAGTGCAGAGATGCTAATACATGTGATGCCAGAGTCTGCTGAGCATGTTTATTTCTGTGCTCCAACATGTCAGAGCTGGCTCCCTGCACACGTATAGGAGCCCTCTAACCTCACAGCTCTGACAAATTCTATGTGAACTT